TCCTGCTGAATATCATCCAGAAATGACTGGAACAGTGCATTGACAGAGAACTACCAGAAATACAGGCTGGGTTTAGAAGAGGTCGTGACATTAGGAACATTATTGACAATGTCAGATGGATCTTGACAGAAAATAGAGAGTACCAGAAGAACGTCTATCTGTGTTTCATTGACTATGCAAAAGCATTTGACTCTGTGGATTACAACAAATTATGACCAACCTTGAGGAAACACTTTAGAAATGAGGTAGACCAGGCCCGAAGGCACAGAGCAGCAGCAGCAAAAACCTCCTGTTCTACTGGGCCCTAAATCCTTTGCAGTAACTACACAGACCTCAAATAACCATGCTCACAATTATGGAAATTATTGTAGACATTACCAGGATGGAATTTCTTAGTCAGGAAAATTTCTGAAGCATACTGACAGGTCTTTAAGTGTTCAGCCTTCAATTTTGGGGATTTAGACTAGTGTTATAAAGGCTTACCAAGTGAGATACCTCATCTCTCCCCCACCAACCCCCTGACCCCGCCACCCCTGCCCGGTCCTCCAGCCAGATTGGGCTAAGGCTCCAGCAATCTCAGGTCTCACTGGTTCTCAGCTGTGGCTGCTGCTCCTCTCCTGTAGGTTCTGGCACAACTGGCATAGGAATCTTTGGTTGCAGAGGAGACTCAATGCATTCTCTACTCCTACTTAATTCTAGTAGTGAGATTTCCCCAAATTTACACAATTTAACTGCTGTTTGTAACAGGTTAAAATTTGTTTTCAAACATTTATTTTAATTTTCCTTAATTATGATAGTCTTCTCTAGTTATTAAATGATTAATACTGTGTTTTCACACATCATCAACAGATGGTAAATGTGTATCAGAGCCAGTATTCAAAATACTTCTCTTTCACAGGTTTGTTTGTGGGTTGTTTTTTGTTGTTGTTGTTTTTTTATTATTAAAAAAAAAAACAGAAAAGGTATGGGCAGTTAACATTGGAAAGATTAATACCAAAAAATGTATACTAGGATTTAACTCTAAATGTCAAGAGAAATGACCAGAAAACTCTGGGGAAAGAAAAAAAAAAAACACCAAAACCCTGTTATTCTTGGGTATATATTGTTGACTTTAAGAAATTCAGAAAAAAAAATTTTAAAGTGTAAAATAACATCCACACAATTTAAATTGAAAAACAAGTTAGCATGTTGCTTCAATGGACAATGAACACACTGAATGCATTCAATCAGAGCATGTATACTTCTTATTCTACTAAGGTTGCATCTTCCGAAGCAGTTCTCAGTTTATTTGGGACATGGAATAATGATAGAGCAAATTTATTTTCACCAAAGACTAGGTAATAAATACTTTACAAAAACTCATTACTGTTACCAGAGCAAAATTACCACATTTGCTTTTGCTTCGTATTTAAAGATATATTTGGCAGGCTTAATCACTTAATAAAGAAGATAACCATGGTCATTATGACAAGAGTGAAATTAAATATTAGATTAAAAAAATCAGGAAGAATGATTGAAAGGAATCTAGTTCAAATCAGAATCAAAATAAAGGACAAAAATATATTTGGGGTTATCGCAATAATATTACACAATAACAATGATATTTATTGTTTCTCAGCTTAATATATAAATAACCCTAATATTCTTAAAGATGAAAATATATTGAACAATGTGTAGTGTTAAGTAACTCTAATATAAAACCTAGTTCAACAATGGATGAAGATGTCCATCCCAGTCCATGGCATTTTCAGTCACTTTGAATGCACGCAAACCAAAAAGAGCTGGACATTGAGTAAGGAAGACCTGATAATCGATGCCTTTGAATTATAATTTGGTGATCTCAAATAGCAGTGATTGTAAGAATGACAGAAGGCAAGGTGGTCTTTCATTCGGTTATATGAGTTCAGTGTCATTATGAGTCTGAACCAAATTAACAGCACCTAACAACAGTATACCTTATTATGTTTTAATTCTTTAAAAATTAGTATTGTTTAATCAACTATAGTATTTACTTAACCAAAATGTTAATGGTTCCATACTTTTTTATAAATAGTACTGTACTAAGTAGTAGTATTTATTAAGAAATCATTATTAGAAAGATGTTCTAATATTTTAAACAAGAAAAAGCATCTGTTTGATAATATGAAACCATCATTTCACATTTTCAAACTCCAGTTGCTTAAAATTAGATAATCCTATTTATACTGACACTGGAAAAAATTTCAAGAAATACCATATAAGCAGGAGCCAATAGTAAAGAAGAAAGAAGTTAAAGCTGAATTAAAGATATTAGCAAAAAAAAATAGGGCCCCAAGAATAGATGGGATACATGGATTGATTGACATGGTTCAACTAACAAATGGAGCCCTGGACACACATACCAGTCTATTCCAGGAATTTGGAAGACAGATGTCTGGACAACTGATAAGAAGAGATCCATATTTGTTCCCATTCCTAAGAAAGGTGAAACAACAGAATGTGGAAACTCACAAACAATATCATTAATGTTACATGCAAGCAAAATACTAGTGGAGATCATTCATAACTGACTAGAATAATACATAAAGGGAACTGCTAAAAATTCAAGCAGAGTTTAGATGAGGCACTGCACCAGGGATATCACTGCTGATGTCAGATGAATCCTGGCTCAAAGGAAATAATACCAGAAGTATATTTATTTATGCTTTATTGACTATGCAAAGGCATTTGACTGTGTGAATCATAACAAGTTATGACTAACATAGAGAAGAATGGGAATTGCAGAACATTTAATTGTGCTCACAGAAAACCTATACCTAGACTAAGAAACTACTGTGCAAACAAAGCAAGGGAAAACTACAGTTAAAAATTAAGAAACGAGTGCATCAGTGTTGTATCCTCTCTCCATACTTGTTCAATTTATACACTGAGCAAAATATTCAAGAGGCTCTATGATGAGGGCAACTAGATGAGGAAACTCATCAATAACCTTCATTATGCAGATGACACAACCTTGCTTGCTGAAAATGGGGAGCACTTGTTGCAAAAGATCTAAGAATACAGCCTTCAATATGGATTACATCTCAACATCATGAAAACAGAAATTCTTACCACCACTGGACTAGGAGGCAACATCATGATAGATGGAGAAATGATTGAAGTTGTCACCAGTTTCATCTTACTTGGATCCACAGTCAGAATCCTTAGTACCAATTTCCAGTCACAAAATCTGAAGATGTATTGTACTAGGAAAGTTGCAGTTAGGGAGCTCTCCCAATTATTGAAGAGCAGGGATATTAGTTTGAGGATGAAGATACAACTGATTCAGTTCATGTTCTTTCCAATCAGTTGCTGTGTATCAAAGAGCTGGACAATGAATAAGGAAAACAGAAAAAAATTGATACCTTGGTCTGTGTGGTGTTGGAGAAGAGTACTGAATATCCCATGGACTGCCAAAAGAACAAACAAGTCTTGAGAAAAGTGCAGTCACAGTGGTCCTTGGAGGCAAAGATGATGAGACTTCATTCACAAAATTTGAGCATGTAGCTAGGATAGGCTATTCCATGGAGAAGGACATAATGCTTAGAAATGTGGAGGGTCAACAAACAAGAAGAAGACCCTCAACCATGTGCTTTGACACAGTGACTGTGCCGTGGGTTCTAACGTGTCAGGAATTATGAGCATAACACAGCGTTCAGATCTGTGGTTAATAGGGTCGCTATGGGTCATAATTCTATGGCAACTGACAACAATTTGAATGGTAATTTTACTTGTTTGCATTTCTAAGTAACTTATGTATAATCTTTTAATGAGGTTAGATATATGAGTGAAAATGATCTGATCTTAAAATTGTTAGCCTAAATAACCAGATTCTTCCAGTTTCTGATAACCTGTTACATGATGCTGAGCCCTCTATTTGTCTCTGATCTTGCTACTCAAAAGGAGACATTTGTCAATTATTTTACATTTTCTGCCCTTGTTGATATTTACAAAGTTTAGGTTGACCTTTCTGCTCTTGATTGTATGTGAATGTTCATACATATATTTGAAAGCCAGTTTTGTCTGTATTTTAAAGGAAGTCTTAACTGCAAATGTTTTCCTAGGTTTGCTCTTTGCTGTGAATGGGAAGCCTTATTTTGGAGACCAACAACCTGTACAGGGATTTGTAATGAACTTTTCAAATGGGGAAATTATAGGCAACTTCAAGCCAGTACGCAAGGTATGTATAAGCATTGCCTAGGTTTTCATTTTTGTGGAAATGAAATGCACAAATGAGCCTAGACACAATAAATTTATGATTGTATAATTTCACAAAAAAAAGGTGAATCACTATGATGTCTTTCTTATCTTAGGTGACAAGTATATCCTGTATGTTTTTGTCTAGATACATTCTCTTGTGATTCCTAAATTTCCTCATGTGAAAATTTATGCTATGTATAATTTGAAGGTTCTTAATAGAATTTGCATATTGTGACTTGTGTAGATAAAAAACATTTAAAAATTCCTTTAAAAATTAGTCTTTTCTTCGTTTTAGCCAAAAGCAAGGACACTATAGTTGAATCAGTTGTGTTTATATAGTTCTCTAAGACCAAACAGAGAGCTCTAGCGGCCTAGTGGAAAGGGGCTGTGTCGCAGTTCCAAAGACATGCAGTTCAAATCCGCTAACTGCTCCATGGAGAACAGATAGGCAGTCTCCTCCTGTATGATTAACCTGTCCCTGAAAACCCACGAGAAGGTCAGCTATGGGTCAGTTCTGACTCAACAGTACACAACAATAACAAGACTCAATAGTAACTGCTTACCTTTTTGTTGCTATGATGTATTTAGCAATAAAACTTGAAAAACAGCATTTTATGAAATGTATTCAAGTTCTAAAACCTTGGTTTAGGTAAAAAACTAAAGGCTAGTTTTGGCTTCATAGATGGTTTATTATTGTTCGTTTATTCTAACAGCTTCTTGTATAGTAATTATGGATTAGTGTGGTCCCAGCCTTTGGTCTTTCCAGTTTACTCTCTCTAAAGCCTGATTGCCACAGTGAAAAGAATATTCATATACACTGAATCAATATTTTTGTATTGTATCAGTTTTCTAAATTTAACTTGGCAAAACACTGCAAGTAAAAGTTATTTTTTAAAATTGTTTATAACTATATTTATTGAATTTATTTGAATCAGAATTCAACTATCAAAAGGCATCACTAGACAAAGTACATCCATAAAATAATTTTCATATTATTTTTACCACGTAGCCTTGGTGATGCAGTAATTAAAGAAATGGGCTGTTAACAAAAAGGTCAGAAGTTCAAACACACAACCACTCTGTGGGAACATGCCGAATCAGTCTGCTTTATAAATATTTATAGCTCTAGAAACATTACAATAGTCCTACTCTGCCCTTCCAGGTCATTAGGAGTTGGAATCAATTTATTGTCAGTGATTTGGGTTTGAGATCTTTAAGATACGTGATGACAGTAGGTTTAGGTTTGAGGTCTTTAAGACATCACATTTGCTAAATTAAAAGGTAAGTTTAAAAATGCTTCCATCAGAGAAAGGAGTCTCTTAGACATACTGACAGCCTGTCTGGAGTTTATCATCACATTTCTTCCCAGATGTTATTGAGTACCTACTATGTACCAGATTCTTTTTTTCCTAGATTACTGAGGATATAATTATGGTAAGCAGAAGATAACATCCCATCTTTCAACTGAACCTTTAGTCAGAGCTTTTACAGTATGTAAATCAAATCAAACTGAACCTGACCTAGTTTCCTGTACAAATCTTTTCCTATGAGTTTATATATGTTGTGTTGTTGTTGTTGCTGTTATGTGCTGCTCCTCATAGCGACCCAAACAGCCCTAAACCCTGCTCTATCCTGTGCCAATCTTACTGTCTCTGACACACTTACCCCCTATTACTCCAGTCACTGACTCAAACCATCTCATCAGGGGTCTTCCTCTGTTGTGCTGATCCTCCAATCTCCCAAGCATGATGTCCCTCTCCAGAGACTGGTCCCACCTTGCAGTATGTCCAGAGTCAGAAGCTTCAGAATCCTTGCCTCCATGGAGCAGACTGGTATCACCCTCGCTAGGACAAATCATTATATAGAAATTAGAAAATAAGATTTTTTTTATAGAAAATTTCCCCTGAAAAACAAATCAGCTATCAAGTATAAATTCATAGTATACTTTCAGAAAGAAATTCATTCTAATGAGAAAATTTTGTATTTCAGCTGTATATTGATTATCTGGTCTTCATTATTTTGCCCCTGCAATAACCTCCACCTGACTATTGATAAAAAAGTAAGATACTTAACTATAAGGTCACTGCTTTTTATCAGTATAGTATTTACCTTTAATGCAAGTATGCATCTAGAATTAAAAAAATAAATGCTAAACTATATAATATAAATAATCCTCACTCTTAAAAGTTGAAAAACTTTAAAAACTTTAGAAAGCAGCATGTCTAAATATCAGCATTCTTTGGACTTTGAATGATTTCATATTATGTGAATTAATGCTGTAATCTTGAGCAGGGAGCATAAATCAAAGATAAAATTTACTTTTCACTTATGTGAACAAGACATAATACCACTTCAACATAGAAATTATCCTGTATTGATTCAGTAATTTAAAATAAGTTAGTAAACTAAATCTCACAGAATTTTCATTTAATTAGATTATGATAATAAAGATTACATTTGGGGGAAAAATAATGTAGTAAATTAACTCCTGCATAAGAAGAGATTCTGTTTGCACAACAGCCTCCTGGTCCAGGTACAAGTTTCACATGAGCACAGTTAGTTCTTCTCAGTGTGACCCATAACTTGTTACAATCCACAGAGTCAAATGCCTATTCAACAAATACTCAACAAATCATAGATAGACATTCTTCTGGTATCCTTTACTTTCAGCCAGGATCCATCTGAAATCAACAGTGATATCCCTGGTGCCATGGCTGCTTCTAAATCCTTCTTGAACTTCTGACAATTCCCTCCTTGTGTACTTTTCTTGCCATTTTTGAATTATCTTCAGCAGTATTTTGCTTGTATGTGATACTAATGATATTGTTTGAAAATTTCCACATTCTGTGGGATCACTTTTCTTGGGAATGGGAATAAATATGGATTTCTTCCAGTCCATTGGCCGGACATCTGCCCTCCAGATTTCCTGGCATAGACTGAATAATGAGTGCATGCACAGCTACAATCTGTTAATCTTTTAAACAGGTAGGAGAATGTTGTGCGAACAAAGCAAGGGAACAATACATGGGTTATAATTAAGATGGGAATTCATCAGGGTTGTATTCTCTCTATATACCTATTCAGTCTGTATGCTGAGCAAATTAGTCAAGAAGCTGGACTCTATGAAGAGGCATGTGGCATCCAGATAAGAGGGAGGACTCATCAGTAACCTGCGTTTTGCAGATGACACAACTTTGCTTGCTGAAAGTGAAGACTTGTAATACTTTATGCAGAATATCAAAGAATACAGCTTTCAATATGGATTGCATCTCAATATAAAAAAAACAAAGATTCTTACCACTGGAGCAATAGGCAGTATTGTGATAGATGGAGAAAAGATTGAAACTTTCAATAACTTCATCTAAGTTATAACAACAGTTAACATCCTTCGTATCAGTAGTCAGGAAATCAGGAGACATGTTACACTGAGAAAGTCTGCTGTATCCAAATTATTGAGAAGCAGTGATATTAGTTTGAGGAGTAAGGTGTGTCTGATTCAAGCCATAGTCTTTTTGACCACTTGCTATGATAATCATGACAGATGAAAAATTGATGCCTTTGATCTGTGATGTTTGAGAAGAATACTGAACATCCCACGGACTGCAAAATAAACAAACAAACAAATAAACCCCATAAACAAATATGTCTTGGAGAAAATGCAGCCAGAGTGCTATTTGGAGGCAAAGATGATAAAGCTATGCCTCACATACTTTGAGCATATCGCTGAGAGGCTGTTCCTTGGAGCGGGACACCAAGCTTGGAAAGTGAAAAGTCAGCAGAGGAGAGAAAGACCCTCAGCTAGATGATTTGACTCAGTGACTGCTGCAATGGGCTCTCGTGTGTCCGGAAGTGTGAAGATGCCACAGAATAGAACAGAGTTCAGATAGGTAGGTTTTACTCGACAACACTTAACAACAGTACTCATATTTGATAAATGAAATTGGACTATAATGATATCTTTTAATCCCTGTAATACATATTGGGATGCCAGAGATTATGTAAAGCCACAACATGAATGTGATACAGCTTCTTAAAAGAATTTAATATTTGTTATTATGTAAATTTAAGCATTATGTTTGTGTGTATGATAGTCAATGTGTTTATCATAGATTTTAGAAATGTCTCATGAACTGTTAAGACAAAGCAGAACATTTTAAGGGAAGGCTGCACTGGGCTGTGACGCTAGGTGACCAAGGAGGAGGTTATCATTCTTTTGTTGTCATTTTTATTTTGTTAAAGATAGGAATTTGCAGAGTGTATTAGAATATATCTAAGTTCCTTCAACTCTGAAATCCTGAAGACAAACAACATAATCTTGCTGTTTAAAATTATACAGAACTGTGAAATATTGTTGTTTTTGTTATTGTTTTGTGCTGTCAAGTCACCTGTGACTCATAGGACCCCATGTACAACAGCTCTGAACCTTGTTATGTCCTGACCCAACCTCATTGTCTCTGACAAACCTACCCCCATTACCCTAGTCATTGAGTCAATCCATCTCATCAAGGGTCTTTCTCTCTTCACTGTCTCCCCACCTTCCCAAGCATGATGTCCATCTTCAAGGACTTGTCCCTCCTTGCAACATGTGCAAAGTATGTCAGATGAAACTTCCAAGGAAACTTACCTCCAAGGAGCAGCCTGGTTTAACCCTCTCCAGCACAAGCCTGTTTGTTCTTATAGCGGTCTGTGGTATATTCAGTACTTTTCTCCAGCACCACAGCTCAAAGGCATCAGTTCTCCTATCATTCCTAGTCATTGTCCAGCTTTCTGATGCATAGAACATAAATGCAAAGACCATGGCCTAGGTCAGGTACACCTTAGTCTTCAGACTGACATTCTTGCTCTTCAGTTCTTTGGAGATGTCCTTGAGAGCAGACTTCCCCAATGCTATTCTTTTTTTTTTTATTTGTTTAATTTTTTTTTTTTATTTCCTTGCTGCTGGTACCAATAGTGTTGATTGTGGAGTAAAGCAAATTAAAGCTGTTAACAATCTCAGTCTCTTCACCGTCTATCATGATGCTGCCAATCAGCTCAGTAGTGAGAATCTTTGTTTATTTGATGTTGAGCTTTAATAATATTGAAAGCTGTAATCCTTGACCTCCTGCAGCAAATATTGCAGTTAAGTGCTTTTGTTTGCAGCAGAAATAAAGGTTCGTCCAGCAGTGCTACCTGCTAAGGCTCTCACTAAACCCTTACCATAGTCCCACTGGCCCTATGGATCAGTTTAAGAACCATTGATATTTCTTTTAGCCTTGAATTTATGATTATTGTGATTTATGTGAGGCAAAGACCTTGGCCAATAAATACTTCACATAGTCTCTTTCCTTTCAGTTCTGTTCTTCCACTTATTATAGTATTTTTCCTATCACGAAATGTGAAGCAATTTGTAACCATATGTTTTTAAAAGCCATTTATAAAAGCATATTTTGTATAGAACAGGCACTGCCTATAATTTTTAAGTTTGTTGCCACCCATTAGCTGAACCAAAAATAAAGATGAATGTTTAATGACAGGCTTAGGAGATTTCAACAAGGCAGCATTTTGATTTCTGGCTCTGTCTTTCTTTTGCACATTTGTCACAGCTCATTGAATGCTCTGAAGGAAGAGTCTCCTTGGCACAGCTCTCATTTTCATTTTTAAGCTGTGGTGATTTTTAAGCATAATAGTGTCTCCAAAGCATACATTCTTCCGCGCCTCTTAAAGTGAACTAAGGAGAATAGTTCATCTTGTTAGTGACCTTTGTACTCAGCAAATTGAGGTCTGCAGCTATTAGCTTATGACACCACAGTCTAGGTAATGTCATTTCCATATGCACTAGTCATATTTTTAAGATCTATGTAGTCAGGCAGGTCTGCTGGCTTCGAAGATGAAAAAAGTATCTACACCTTGCCAATAGGAAGCTACATGACACATTTGGAAATTTCAGTAAACACATGGAAATGTCAGAGTGCACAGTGTTTCAATGTTTTAAGCCTGTCAGTTCTTCTAGAAACTTGTGTGGCCCCAAGAAATTCACACAACTGCTCACCTGACTTCTGTATCCCTAGGCCTGAGAAGACAGTAATTTGAAATGGATGTAGGACATGAGGAAGGTGATATTAAAATACTAAGTGTCTGAAGTAGATACAAAAGTCTAGGGAGTATTGAAGTTTTGGGTCTGGGTTTTTCTTTGATTGGTTTAGTTTTTCACAAATTCAGTGAAAACTCAAATTTGTTTTTATGGATGATGGAAAACTGCAGACGTTGGATCTGAGGGTATAAAACTCATGTTCTTCTTGGATATAGCCCAAATGCCATGAATCTGAATTGATTGTTCTTATTAGTAATATTCAAATAGTTTTTAAGGGTAGTTTAGCTTGATGAGAAGGGTTGTTGTATACTGTCGAGTCAGAACAGACCTATAGCTGACCTTCTGGAAAATTTTAAGATGCAGTTTATCACATGGGAGGAGAATGTCCATCCTTCTCCCATGAAGCAGCTGGTGGAGATGAACCACGTGCATCGGGATTTCAGTTCAAGACCACCAAGTGCTCCCCTGATGGGAACAGTAACGTAATTAATATCTGTTTGACTTGTACAAATTAAAAGAGGCACATTTTGATAGATATTAAACGTTAGAAGAAATAAAAGGCAAAAATAAATTTTAAAAAGGTAGGGGACTCAATACTAGTTGTGTAGGGAGTTGCACTTTCAGCTGGGAGACGGGTGGTTCAGATCCACCAGCTGCTCTGAAGGGGAAAAGAGCTGTCTCCTCCCATATGACTTATAACATCTGAAGACTCACTAGACAGTAAGTTATGACTCACTTCCGACTCAACTGCATTAAAATAATTTTAAAATAAATAAAAGAATTTGCTTGTAAATGTTTGCTTTTTAATGTATTTGGAAATTAGTGGTAAAGGTTGTTCAGTATGTCCCAGTATCTAGCATTATACTTGACTAAAATTTGCTATGTAATAACTCAGAGACTAAAGATGCTGTGATTAAAAAGTATTTTTTGTTTGGTTTTTAAAAAAATTTGAGGGGTTTTGTTTTGATTTTTGCCTGTTGTTTTGCTGTGTACTTTATTTTCCTACCTTTTCATGACAGAAAAGGGTAACCTCACTACTTAATGTGTGACTTGCTGTTTTGACAGCACTTTGACATGCCTCATGATATTGTTGCGTCTGAAGCCGGGACAGTGTATGTTGGAGACGCTCATGCTAAGACCGTGTGGAAGTTCACCTCGACTGAAAGTATGTCCACATTTTCCCCCAGTGTTATTGCTTGAGAACATCTGAAATTAAAATGTTTACGTTCCTTTCTCTCTTAATTGACAGGAATGGAAAATCAAGGTGCATATTGGCAGTTGTTAAGAATTAAAATATTTTTCTAAGTTAGGAGGATTGTCTCCCCACTCACCCCAGGCAGTTGTCCTTTTGATTGTAGGAAGTTCTCAATGCCTTAAGTAATTAATGTCTGTTACATAGAGCCAGGATTAAATCCAGCTTACTACAGAGGGAGGAGAGGGTTTTGGAAAGGCAAAGGAGCTGAGTTGTTTCTATACAGGCATCACTACCCATGTGGCTCTTCAATCTCAATAGCTGTAGAGCATTTAGGGATGCCAGCATCTCCCAGACACATGTTATTCTGAACAGGAAACATTGTACATTTTTCATTTAGGCTTCATGTTTCCTGAAATACTGAGTTCCTGTATTTTCAGGGAACTTAAAAGTTTGCCTGAAGACAGAACTCTGCTTGGTTAAGATTAGGCTATCTAGGTCTAGAGTTTTCAAACTACAATTCAGGCAGTATTTCTAATTCTATAAAAGCATACTAACTTGGACTTTGCTATAATGTGCTTAACACTGGTTGTCTAGTGTTAAAGATGTTGTACTGCCAACCCAAATGTTGGCAATTTGAATGCACCAGCTGCTTTGTAAGAGAAAGATGAGCAGTTTCCTACCATGTGGTTTACAGCGTTTGAAAACCCCACAGAGCGTCAGCAATGAGTCAATTCTGACTTGTTGGCACAGTTTGAGCTTTGGAGTTTTATCATATTCTTAGATACTAACTAAGTTAAACTTAAATCTACCCTGAGATGCCTTAGAAGTGAGGCCTAGTGAGAGATCTATTGCCAAAAATATCAACCATTTAAAACCTTATGGAGAATAGGTGTACTTTGACACAAACTTAAGTTGCATCAAGTCAGTGGCAACTGGCTTTTTATCCTACCAGTTGTCTAAATTGAAGAGCACTGAGTGCTTACCAAGCCATCATCTTTTCACATCTAGAAATGTTTTTATAATATGCTAAGTTGTAAACTGCTGGGAAGATTTTGAAAACTTTACTCAGATAGTACACAGTTCTAGGATCCCAGTTAAATTTGTTAGCCACTGTATTGAGATCCAATTTTTTAGTAATATTTACTGCTTTGTAATAAGCACTCTGCTTGGTTGAGTACACAGTGGTGTTCAAAAGAGTAGCTTCACATTCACCTTAAATATACCCACTGCCTACATTCTCTCCAGAGGTGTGGACATTAGAGCTGGTTCAAGCCCACCAGTAATGGCAAAAGATGTGGCAGTTGATTAAAGATCGATATACTTGTAAGCCCAATTCTGCTTTCTCTGTAGGGTCATTATAAGTCAAAACCAACAGCAATGAGTTTAGTTTTCAATTATTCAGTCAAATCCATTTTTGTCATTTAGAAGATAAGGAATCCAACATGGCAGAAGTACTAATAAATCTGAGATACTATACATGTGAAAACAGAAATACTTGCTATTTCGAAGATAATATAATATTAACTCCAGGAAACACCCATTCAAAGTATGAAGATACTGAAGTACTATTTCAGTGGAATAACTTTAATTTGTATTAAGGAAATATTTTCTACTAGAAAAAATTAATATAACAATATTCTATGTTCTTTTCAAATGTTTCTCCTGGGTATTCTGATATTCTCTCTTTTTCTTTCTTTTGTGTTACAGGAATGGAACATCGATCAGTTAAAAAGGCTGGCATCGAAGTCCAGGAAATCAAAGGTTGGTCAGCTTTCTCTCATGACTGTGAAACCCAAGGCTATTTGTGTTGAATTTCTTTCTGGCTCTTGGCTGCACTTAAAAAATTATCAGGCTAAAAATATAATACAATCTGGTCAATTATCCACAACTTCTGCTGTATTCTGAGACTGTAAGCCTGCATGTTGCCACTGCTTTTGCTGATAAATGTAGTAGTAATAATGAGCTCAGGTTCACTGACTTCAAGTGATGGAGAGTGATTGAGGATGTAAGAAATCTATAATCAGTGGGTCAGGGAAATTCAGGGGAAAAAGAGTAAGTTAGTCACTTTTGAAAGTGCATTAACCTCAAGCTAGCAGAAAAATACCTTTCAAAGTATTGGGAAGGATCTCTTTTTAATGGATTCTAATCTAAAAGAGTGAAAAATATCTTAGATGTGTTAATGTTATAGCAGCTAATGAGTCAGTTGCTCCCTAAGCCTTTATCTTAGTAACATTCAGACCCTCATCATTTTTTAGTGTCTTCTAGAGTAAGAATTCCTGGGTTGTGCAAACAGTTATGTACTTGGCTGCTAACCGAAAGTTGTAAGTTCAAATCTCCCAAAAGAAAAGCTTGGATATTTATTTCAGAAAGATGAAAAACATTGAAAACCCTGTGGAATGAAGTTTTACTTTAAAGTACATAGATCACCATGAGTCAGAATTGACTTGATGGCAACTCTTTTGGTTACGTTTTTTGGTTTTTGTGTTAAAAGTAGAACTGTGTCTTGGTTTCACAAGGCTTGTGGTCTATAAGAAGAGGTGAAACACCCATGTACTTACTGTATGTGTGCACATGTGTATACATATATACACACCAATATATAATTGATATATAATATCAAAAAAAAGGGGCACTGATAATTGGTACTGGTATACAACCACTGGGGAGCTCTGACGGCCTAGTGGCAAAAAGCTGTGCTGTAATTCCAAAGGCATGCAGTTAAAATCTACAAACTGCTGCACAGGAGAAGGGTTAGCATTCTCTTCTCATGAGATTAATGGCCTCTGAAAACCTGTTGAAGGGTTGTTCAGCTATGGGTTGTTTCTGACTCAACAATAATCAACAACAGCCACAACAGTTTGTCACTAGATACATTCAGAATTCTAGTTAAGTAATTTTCTCCTTTTCCTTGGATCAGTCTCTATTTATACATTTTCTAACACTGGCAGGCACTAACATAATTTACAGTTGAGACTTAGAGTTTCTTATTAAATGCTTCTGATGTTTAAGTGGCAAAGTAGTTCTTTTATTAGTTACTTTACAGATTCACCTACATACTTAGACGTAAGCCCAGGCTTATTTATTTTCCTTTCTCATGAAAGCAGGTGGAAAGATAGTTAGACAGATGAAATAGAGCCGACTCAGAGCTGAAAGAGGTACGATGATGCTACACAATAAATAGTAATTGTTTGCCTTGTGTAGAGGTTCTACTCGTGACAATACTGAGTGGTAGCTAAAAGTACAAGCATATTATATGTAGGTATTAAAGAAGGCTCCTGATCACCTCATATTTTTTACTACTATCTATTGAATTATTGTAAATTCTAATCGCTTTACAATATTGGTTTTGGGAAATGTACTAGTAATAATAGATGTCATTTATGGACAGTTCTAGGGAGATACAAATAGTTCACAAGCTCAGGTGCTAAATGAAAAATAGAAGCTTTGACTCTTCTTAGAGGCACCTTGGAAAAATGGCCTAATGAGTTACTTCTAAAAATCAGCCATTGAAAATGCTGTAGAATTCTACTCTGATGCACGGTGGATCGCCATGGGTCAGCACTGACACCAGTGAAGCTATATTTTTGTGTCACTCATGGAGCACAAACAATAGGCACCACGCTTCTCAAAGGTTATTAAATTTAATCCTTACACCAACCTTGTGAGAGTGACTATTATACCTATTTTACATGGGAGGAAATTGAGGATCTAAATGACTATGAGACAAGAAGTGATAGAGCAGGGTTTTAAAGTAAAATCTGATTGGCACAAAACCTGTACTGTCCTTGAATCTCTGTTTCTATGTTGTAGAGAAGTAATGGATACCACCAATTCATCCACCATAAATGCTTCTAATACTGCAAGTTGAGAGTGATTTTAGTTTACATTAAAACTTCTGGAATTCAAAATGACCTCAAAACATTTTTATTTTAATATATCTTATCTCACAGTTCCACATTATGCTGGTTGACCTATTGAGAGCAGCCCAATGAGGCTGACCTCCTCTGGACTGGCCAGTCAGGGATGAATTATGCCCTTCTGTAGGCCATTTCCTCTCAATGCACACCACTGAGTCCATTTATTTGGAAAACTTCTCAGCCTTGAGGCAGAACCCAGCAGTTCACTTAGTAAATATTATTGAAATGTCTTACTCTGACAGTTAGAAATATCAAAAAAATGGTTAGGAAAACTACACCTAACCTAATAGTTAAGAAAACGAAATGAAGCTGTTCCATTATACTTTGAAACCATCTGATTCTTAATAAAACTTTTAAGAGAGAAAGAGAAATTTTGTTTTTATAAAAAAAATAATATAAATCATGCTGCATTTTAAATTTTATCTGTTACCAAAATTCTAATGCTTAATTCAAACTAGTACTTACAAAAAGAGAGAAACAATCAGGTTTATCATTCTAGTACATGCTACTTGTAAGTCTATCAATTAAACCTACCTTTAATGTCATGAATCATCATCTTGTTGTAAATGGTCAAATGACTGATAAGTAAAAGCAGAGCTTCAGAACAAGTATTCCTAGAGATTTGAAGGGATAAGATAAATTAGAGTGACAAGAAACTTAGAAAAGACATTCAAATTTCCAAATAAAGTTACTAAAGATGTAACATATATGCTAGTTACTTAACCAAAAGCATACAACCCCTTAATAGAAAATGACAGTTTCCTAAGAAGTGATCAAGACTGATCAAGAGAGACATATTGCAGAGGAAACTAATAATGTTTTTAAAAATTTAAAGATCGATCTTGTTAGTGCTATATGCACTTTTAGTGTTTTCTAAAATGGTGCTTGTTATGTTATTGTTTATGACCTTAAATTGTGTCTGATGAACTGAGTAACAGCTAATAAATCGCTGTGTTAATCAGGCACTTCACTTCCTATCCCAGTTATTCCATGTGGTCTCTCTATCTTCCTTCTTCTGTCAAAGAGATATGCTCATACTTGTATAAGGGAGCATATATTTTAATGTAGACATAAGAGTGTACATAGCCTCCTTCTCTGAATGTATCGCTTTAAAGAAAAAAATATTTTTCTAAATTAGCTCTTTAAAATTATCTTTATTCCTAAATATTGACAATGCGATACTTTAAGAATCTGTACGCTTATAATACTTGAAGATAATTTTGTTCTAGACAGAATCTTCCTGGAATCATAAACCCTAGCAAGTCTGTATTTTTACTCTAATGCTTCAGATTATTAGGATTGTAATAAAACACTCTAGATGAAAAGGCAAAATGATACAACAAGGATTATTCCTATGCTTTTAGTGAAATTCTTGGAATTTTTAATAACAACTAGGTATGCTAGACTCCTGAAAAGAATAGCAACAGTTATTTTTTGTTAATCGGTACTTTTCAAATTTTTATCTCCCTTATTTAAAATAGGTATATTTGTTAGCATAGTCTGTGGGGAGTTGCCCTGCTAACCCAAAAGTGACACCTGTCTAGCTGCTCAAATCCATCAGGGACTTCTCCAGAGAAAGATGGGAGATTTCCTCTCATGCAACTTACAGCCTTTCAGAACCCCTGGAGAGTTCCGGAAGAGTCACTTCTGAGTCAGCAGCAATGAGTTGAGTTACTTAAAATAGAAATCATCTTTTAAAACCAAATGTTGTTTGGTTGTTTTTGTTATTTTTTTTAAATTTTGTAATTTTAGTGAACGTTTTACAGAAAAGCTGGATTTTCATTCATTCATTGTTGCACATATTCCTCCCTCTCCCTACCTTTCCCCTTCTCCAGTCCACTTTGTAACTTACCCTTTTATTCTGGACTGTTGTCATACATATAATGCCCCATCATATATTCCTTTTAGATAGTTCTCTCCTTTGTCTATTCCAATGCTGTGTTCATTATCTATCCACTCTTTTCTTAGTTTTTCCAATCCCCAAATCAGTCTTGCTTTATAACAGTGGTGTTAAGCACCTTTTGTGACTTATTTGTCCTTTTGTTACTGAGATCTTTTACTCAGCATAATGTTCTCCGTGGTCACCCATGTTGTGTAATGTTTTACAAATTCATGGTTTTTCAATGCTATGTAGTATTCCAAAATGTGAATGAAAATACCATAATGTTTCTATCCATTCATTTATTGATGGGCACTTGTGATGCTTTCATCTCTTTGCTGTCGGGAATAATACAGAAATAAATGTGGGCATGCATACATCTCTTTGCTGGTTTCTTTAGGATATATTCCCCGTAGTGGAATTGCTAGGTCAAATGGTATGTATGTTTCCAACTTTTGGAGAAAGCGCAGACAGCCTTCCATAGTGGTTGCACCTCCTACCAGCAATGATTATGAGGTTTCCAATCTCTCCACAACTCTGTTGAACTTTGATATTGTTGCTGTGGTGAGATGATATCTCATAGTTGTTTTCATTTGCATCTTTCTGATAGCTAGAGATTTTGAGCATTTCTTCATATGTTTATTTACCATCTGAATGTCTTCTTTGGTGAAGTGTCTGTTAATATCCTGTGCCCATTTTTCAATTGGTTTGCTTACCTTTTTCCTAATGAGGTGTAGATGTTGTTTTTAAATGTCAAAATGTTCAAGTATTTTCAGTTGATTGCACTTCAAATACTAGAAGATGTATGGAGAGCAAGGATTTTTTTTAATGCAAGGATTTTTTTAAATCTCTTATGTACACTTTAACAAGATAGTGTCTTTCTTAGCCCACTTTCTATGAATACTGAATTATTTTTCTCATATGTTTCACCCATAATTCATCATTCCACTTTTTGGAATCCAATCTTAAGAAAGAGTCTAGTTATGGTATACGTCTATTATGTCAGGTTTAAGTAAACTTCCTGAGTACCAAGTAGAAAATGCAAGGAATATGTTTAGGTTATGACTACCTTCAAACAGAACATACCCTTCCACCAAAAGCAACAAGTTTCTTGAAAGCCAAGCTACATTTTTTACTTATGATTCCATAATCTAAAGATTGTCATTTTCTTATTTTCCTCTATAAAATGAGTTTTAATATAAAGTAAGTTATATATCTTTGCTATAAAAACAAAGAATAAGCTAAACTATTTTTTAATTTTTTTTCATTTTTTTTAAGCTAAACTTTTTAAAAAGTGGTAAAAAAGTAGAAAAATATATTACTCTGGTTTTCTCTTGAAATTGAAGACTCAGGAAAATTGAATTTTAACTATTTAAGTCTGTGAAGGAGTCTCTTTTATTTCTCCTATATATTAACTACAGTAAAAACAACGACATAGAGGAGGTCTGTTTGCCTGGTGGACAAAAAGTTAGTTATTCTACCAAGCCCAAGACGGGTGATATTAATCTGCAGCACTCAGGCCTGGTTTAAATGGTTTTGTTTTGGTTTTTGATGGGTGTTTTTTTTGTCAAGCATTCTTTTAGGCGGTATAGCACTGGTCTATGCATTGCTGTACAGAGGTAACTTGTGGTTGCTGTGATGCTAAACACTGTGACACTGATATGCCAGAGGTGATAATGGTTACCCATGGTGGAGAGTGTTTGATGGAGCTACGTACGTGATTAAAACAAGCTTGGAAGCAGGAGTGGCCTCCACTTCCGAAATAGCTGGCCTCCAGAAACTCTATGAACATGGAGAAATGACCAAAGTTATACAAGTGTTCAGGTCTTTCATTCATAGGGTCACTATGAGTCGTCTATGACTCGATGGCACTTAATAACAACAACATATATCAAGAGCTACTTCAGTAACCAAAAGAAAAGATTGTATGGCTTTTCTTTACCATGGCACAGGAAAAGCTTTCAAAACTAAAAATCCTATTTCTATAGACGTAAACAATTTGAAAACTGAGACCATCTGTAATATGGAGTTGATAATATTGCCTACTAAAAGCTTGGGTTGATGATTACAGGAGAAAAATGCAAGGCATGATACAATAAACATAGGTGGCTCAATAGATATAACTGAGACCATGAAAGAGGAAGCTGCTTAAGAATGTAGAACTCTAGTACTACTACTAGTAATACTACTAAACCTAGTACTTGCCATTTGTTAGATCATGATGTCTAAAGTGTCTTAATAAATGTTTTCTCAGAAGAATACCCAGAGAAATTGTAAGTCATAATGTCTAGTGACTAGAAAACAGAACATACAGGCAAAGGGTCATGATTGTCTCTCAAAAAGGCCAAAGAGGGTGAGAATAGCACATCCCCTCACCACCCCAAAGCAGAAAGCAGATAAGAGTCCATAGGCCAGCCCCATGCTGCCTCTAAAGCCACACCAACAGCAAGAGGTTCATTTATTTGTTGTTGACTTACAGACTTAGTGAGTATTTGTGGTACAGAGAATGGGGTTTATTAGGGAAACGTTCTGGAGAGTGGGGGAGGCAAAGATTATCGCCCAATGCAAATCCATGTTTTAGCCTAGCACTCTCAAGGCACAATGCCTCAATTAGTCTAGGTTCTGGTTTCAATTCAGCAACACAAATTCAAGAAGCCCCTCATTTCCTCAACCATCCAGCGAGGTTTGCCACAGAGCAGTTATAAGTTAGCTTCTCCTTAATTGTTCAGCAAGAACAACAAAGACATTTGACTGTGGCCTTTATCTCAGGGCTCCTCTTTACCCCTTGCCACTGTTTATCCCCAGCAATGTCAGAGTCTCTCCACCACCATCACTAGGATTTCACTCTCAGCAGGGTCTTGTTCCAGTCTTCCTCAAGTCTTGCTGCTCAGTGTAGGAAGCACTCTTTCTCTTTGCCTTGTCCCAAAGCTGTTCATGATTTGCAGTATTATGTGTCTGCATTATTGTTACCTGGAGACCAGAGGGGGTTAAATGAATAACTTAAAAAGCTTAAACTTAAGGCTAACCCCACACATGTTTTTGTTGCTTGCTGTTGAGTCAGGCACTACTGAATTGTGTAGGTTATTTTCATCAACAACAGAATAGCAGGTGCATTTGTCTGCATTTACATTTTTCTGATAACTCCAGAATAGAGCATAAGAAGGACATAATTCCATTCTCCAATTTGTAATCCTTTGATTAGTATATGTAACAGTGTCATGTGATACATCAGTAACTCAGTGGACGTGGAAAATATTTGTACACTAACACTATACAACAACACTATATGGAGACAAATACTTATTGATCCCTTTCTTTTCCTATACATGTAACAGTTTTATTTTATAAAGTACTGTTATCACAGTTTTAAAGATGAAGTTACTAAAGCCCTCAAAATGTAAGTAACTTGCCCAAAGTTGCACAGCTAGTATGTAGGAGAGCTAGGATTTGATCACAGGTTATTAGGAGTGCAGTAGTCACAACAGTTGTGCTGCCTGTTAATTTGAGCTTTGGGAAAATGTAAAAGAATTTTGTGGAATTATAACTAAGTGGAGTAAGCATAGAACCAAGAAAAATAATTTTGAAGGTAAAGTTCCCAATTCCAAAACCTACTATTGTTTGGTAGATTCAGAACATGAACTTCCCATGCATTAGACTCAGCAAGCTCACTACAAGCCCTTGTTGATTTGCCTGGATAGGGGTGGAAGGGGGGGGGCGATTTGGAGTTTTTGAGTCAGTTGAATATTGTGAATTCTTCTTTCCCTGAAGAAGCCGAGGCAGTTGAGACCAAAATGGAAAACAAACCCACTTCCTCAGAATTGCAGAAGATACAAGAGAAACAGAAACTGATCAAAGAACCAGGATCAGGAGTATCCGTTGTTCTCATTACAACCCTTCTGGTTATTCCGGTTGTTGTCCTGCTGGCCATTGCCTTATTTATTCGGTGGAAAAAGTCAAGGGCCTTTGGAGGCAAGTAAAACGAGCCCCTTAAACTTGGAACCTGCCTTTGCATGAGCATTTGTCCTGATTACCTTCAGAATTTTGGTAGTGATTTTTTTTTGTCAGTGTCTTTATTTTTTTTTATGTTGTTGTCTATGTCCAAGTATTGTCTATAGTTAGCAACACAGAGGAAAATATACTTGGAGCCTCTGAAATTGGTATTGTTGTTGTTGTTAGGTGCTGTCAAGTCAATTATAACTCATAGCAACCCTGTGAATAACAGATCCAAATTTTATACTATCCTGTGTATGTTGTTGTTGTGTACTGTAGAATTGGAACTGACTCATAGCAGACCCTCCAGAGGGTTTTCAGAGGCAGTTAATTGCACAGAAGGAGATTGCTCATCCGGTGGCCTCAAACTATGTGCCTAAGGGATTGTAGCACAGCTTCTGTATAGTTAGGTTAAAAAAATATCTTTTAATATTGCCTTCTAGGAATTAAACACAATTAGTGATTTCATGTAAAGCTGTATAGATAGATAGTGTCAGTGTAAATTAGCTGAGGGGTCAAAAGGAAGAAAAGTCCTGCCATTAGGTATGGGCTCAGCCTTACCTTGATAGTTATTTTTGATGTAATATTTTGTCTTCCCCCAGACTCTGACTTTAACTCCTAGCTGCATGATCTTGGGCAAGTTACTTAACCATTCTAACTCATCTATTTCTTAGTCAAATAAAGTGGGGATAAAAATACTTACCTTACCAAAAAAAAAACAAACTTAACCTTACAAGCATATATGAAGATCAAATTATATAAAGATGTATAAAGCATTCATCATAATTCTGGCACATAATAAGTGCTTAATTAATACCACCAATGACTCTTGTTGTTCTTAAGAGCCATCAAGTTGAGTAGGATTCATAGCCACTCTATGACCAACAATCTGACACCTCTTCTATCCTGTGTCATCCTTACCATCCCTGACACATTTGAGCCATTGCCACAGACACTGTATCAAACAATATCGTTGAGTCTTCCTCTCTTTTAGTGACCCTCCACCTTTCCACGTTTTTCCCTTCCAAGGAATGGCCTTTCCTAAAAACATGTCCAAATATGAGACAAATTTTTGTTGTCATTCCCTCCACGAAGCACTCTTAACAGTATTTTCTCCAAAAAGTGTCTGTCAGTTCTTGTGGTAGTCCATGGAATAATCAACAGTCATTTCCAGCACCATTACTCAAAGTCATCAATCCTGAAGTACCATCCGTTGGACTCTGGCTTCATAGCAGTCTTATGTACAACACAGAAACCCTGCCAAATCCTGTGCCATTCTCACAATCTCTGCCCATTATTGTAGTTACTCTATCAGTCCATCTCATTGAAGGTCTTCTGCTCCTTTTCTGACCTTCCACCTTTCCAAGAATGATGCCTCCTTCCAAGGACTGACCTCTCCTGATAATACATTCAGAAGGTATGATATGAAGTCTCACCTTCCTTGCTTCCAAAAAATCACTGCTCTGTGGAAAAATGAGGAGCAGTCTTCTACCATTAAGATTTACAGCCTAGAAAACCCAGTGGAAGGCTGCTGTGGCTCAAACACCAATGATTATGCCATCATAAAAGTAATAGGAAGTTATGAGAGGTAAAACTAAACATCAGCTTTCTAAAAGACCTTACTTTTTATCATTAAAATATTTGGTAAAGTGTCATAATATAAGTCATCAGTTTTCCTTAAATGTAAAAGGAGGGTTCAGTATTCAGGTCAGTATTTTCTCAGACTATTATTATAGCATCAGATATAGGAGCTGAAATTTTTTCAAGACATGGACATCCAAATGAATGTTTAAGTAGATCATTTAAACAGCATTTCTCTCTCTACCCAGTAGCACCCCCTAGCTGTGACCTTAGGTCCTACTGCAATGGTCTACACTTGTGTCTGGGAAGGAGTTAATGAATAGGCGTGAGAGGTAGCAATCTGATCAGAAAACAACATCTGATTCTATTTTGAGCCAAGGCAACCATGGCAGGGATCCAGTGCCCATGGCAAAGCCTTGACACAGAAAAAGACATGGGAACAAATACCAGATTAAGTGTAACATGTTGTGAAATAGAATTTTTCCTGGACTTTCTGGTGCTTTCAGTCTGCCAGGTGGTAAAAATCTACCCCCCCCCCAAAAAAAATACAGTTAACTCTTCGGAGACTTCTGTCAAGTCCCTGTTGTGTGTCTGTAAATACAGTATTCAGAAAGCAGAGATAAACACATTGTTTTCATGGAACTCAATACAAGCTTCAGAAAAGCAAGTGTCCTATATATTTGATTTACTGATATGACCCTATTAGGGATTAAAAATAATTTATGAAGAGTTAATATAAATGGAGTTTACATAATCAATGAATCATAAAATTATAATAGGGGTTGATAAGTACAGTAATAGAGAACTTCAGGGGAACATGTGAATATGGAAACAGCAAGAATGGTGGTAACCATATCAAAGTTGAAATGAAATGGCTGTGAAAGCAAGATGTTCGGTCTATCTGTTAAGCACGTTAGGACATGACATTGATAGAGAATGCCATGATTGCAAGTATGGTGAGAAGGTGTAGAGCCATGCTTAACAGTATGAAATTGACCTGATTCTGTCTTTTTTTTTTTTAATTAGGGGAAAAAATGAATTTCCTATGGTCCTGTCCAAATTGAAAATTGATTCAACTCATATTTTTAATCATTTATTCTTAATAGATCATGCATAGTAAGTTGACCCTAAGTTTTCTACAAATCTGTATCAAGTACCCTTCATACATTTTTACACTTTTATTCAATACACTTTTATTGGGTGACAGTTCTAGATTAGACATTGCACTACGTACTGTGATTGCAGTAGGCACAGAGTATATAAGCTATTTCCCTCATCTTTGTAGAATATACAGTCTGATTTCTTAAATATTACACACACAGAGACACGACTAGGTTCATCTTCCCTTCTTGTCTCTTTCTCATTCCTCTCCTTTCCATCCATCATGTGTTTGCTTGTTCACCTTCTCCAGGCGGCTCCCTTCATTGCTGGTTTTAGACATAGTATGAGAAGCCTAGCTTCCCTGACCATTGCCCTTAAGGGAATAGTGGAAGCATCAGGAACCCAGTCTCTTGTAAGGAAAAGAGAGTTAATTTGATGCCTTCTGTGATTGAAAATTACCTAGCATTTCATCTCCTTTTACCCTCACTTAGGTCATCCTTAAGGAATCCTAGTGACTGAGGCAATGCTTAAGAACTAAGCTGTTAAATGTAATTGCCAACTGTTTGAACCTATCCACAGACTTCATAGGAGAATGGCCTGCTGATCTTCTTCAATGTAGATTATAGTTTAGAAAACCCTATGGGGTAGTATTGCTCTGTCACAGGGGGTTGCTATGAATCATGGTTAACTGAACAGCACCCAACAACCTAACTTACTAGAGAAATGGTATACATGAATATAAAGCTTTCTCAAGCAAGATATGTAGAGTCCTTACTGAAAAGAGTAGATCAACTATCTCTGAATTACAGTAAATTGATTTTCAGTTACTGGAAACTTCTATCTTAATGTGGAAAAAAAGCAACATTATTTACTGAGCATTTACTGTGTTGTATGTATGTACTGTTTTAAGTTCATCACTGCACTTAATTGGTAGGTAGGGATTGTCATTGATTCTTTCCACAAAGGAGAAAATTAACACTCAGAGAAATATTGTGCCTACACCATGTATCGTCGGAGAGGTTCAGTTAGGAATCAAATCCAGCTCTAGCTCATACCTATATCACAATAATGGAGTCTTTCCCAATCCCCAATTCTAAAATTACATATAGTCAAGAACCAGACCTTGTTAAACATGTTTGAATTCCCAACTTTGTGTTGTAAGTTGAACCTTTGTGTTGTAAATTGAGTAGGGTGATTGAGATCCTTTTGAAATGTGACATCTCTGTCCAGCAGATTCTGAACACAAACTCAAGACAAGCTCAGGAAGAGTATTGGGAAGACTTAGAGGTATGCCTGTGACCTTTTGACCTTTTAGTACCCTTTCACATGGTTTCATTCAAAGTCAATAGCACATGTCTTCTAAATAGCAAAGAAATATTTCCTATTTTATCTCTGAAAATTAAAGTCCTGTTCATATTTTAGCATCTCCCCAGCATAAAATTCAGAATGAAAGCCATAAACTAAACTGTGTAACTCTGGTGGCAAATTTCCCAGTTTTGTTTTTTCACCTTGCTGTCTGGGGTATCTAATTCTGTTCCCTTGCCTTTTATCTGACTTCATTTGTCTTCAGTAAATTTTCTGTCACTCCTGTCAGCATGTCAGTATTTGTCATAAGGAAGTTATAACCTTTTCATAAAGTCATTGAAATGAACTGCTCGAGGGATGCCAGTTCCAGAGAGTCTGGAAGAAACAGGAGGTGAAAGTGAATCTGAATTATTTCTACAGAAACACACAGTCCTGAGGAGACTCAACCCTTATAATATAATAACCCTTGCAGAGTAGCATCTGGCTCTGTGGGATAAGACTCTCTTTATGCCACTTTTCTATGTATGTACCCTTTCCCATTCTCCAGTGTCTAATATTGTTTACCACTTAAGAATTGACAGGACAACCAAGAATTATTTGTACAAACTTTACTTCAATTCTTTGTTAATGTTTTCTTCACTCAGGGAAAGGAACTGGAGGCTTAAACCTTGGAAACTTCTTTGCAAGCCATAAAGGCTACAGTCGGAAAGGGTTTGACCGCCTTAGCACCGAGGGAAGTGACCAAGAGAAAGATGAAGATGACGGAAGTGAATCAGAAGAGGAGTATTCTGCACCTCTGCCTCCACCAGCACCTCCCTCCTCCTGAAAACCAGGCTTTGATTTAGGCTGAGCGAGATTTTACCAAGAATGCCAGATTCCTTCTTTTTAGCACGTTTAAAGCTTTGTGTATTTAATTGTAACTGTACTAGTCTGTGTGGGACTGTACACATTTTATTAACTTCCTTTTTGAGTTGATTGGCTTTGGTTTCTAGTTGAAGAATTTCCTAAATCTTCCTAACAGTGCCATTGTCTTTACATGAACATAGAATAAAGAAGCAGTTGTCTTCTTCCATCATAGTACTAATTGAAATGATGGGATATTTGCTCATTTTCATTTTTGAGACTTTTCTGTGGATGTAAATAATCCCACTTTCTGCTTGAACACAGTATTTCTCCAATAGCACTTCCATTGCCAATGTCTTTCTTTGGTGCCTTTCCTGTTCAGCACTCTCAGCCTGTGGCAGTAAAGAGAAACTTTGTGCTACATGATGATAAAGCTGCTAAATCTCCTTCTATTTTTTTAAAATCACTAGCATTATATTGCAATGAGAAAAGGAAAAAAGTCTCTATTTAAATTCTTTTTTTAGTTTCTTCTTTAGTTGGTGTGTTCTGGGATGTCTTATTTTTAGATGGTTACACTGTTAGAACACTATTTTCAGAATCTGAATGTAATTTGTGTAATAAAGTGTTTTCAGAGCATTAGCTGTCAGTGTATTTTGCAATTTTTGCAGGCTTTTGTATACAACTTTTGTAATATTTACACAAACCACCAATAACTTTCTCAATGTCTTCAACCAGCAGAAATGTGTTGTATTGTATAAAATATAGAAGATATTTTGTTATATAGCCAATACAGATTGGAAACAAGACTAAGAATTTACATACATGTGTTAAAGCAGGCTTTCTATTAACATATAAAGATGATCCTTGCCTGTATATAAATCAGAAAGTAAATACTTTAATAAAAAGTGATCATAGCTAAGAGGAAGCCTGTGTCTCAAATTACATATACAAATTATTTCATCAGTGTAGGTTACTATTAATATTTTTAATTTCCACACAAAAAAATTTATGTAAATTTCCATGTATTTAGAGGAATTTTTTCCATCTATTGCCACAAGTATAAAGTATACATAAAACATCTTTTTCACAGTCCATAATCAGTAAACATTTGATAATGTTCTTTTTCATAATCATTAGACTCTATAATTCTTTCTTGAAAAGGCCTACATCTTTCTTGTTAGTGTGTAGAATGTTAGGGATTTAATTCATTGACCTTGAAAATAATGCAAGGTACTTGGAATAAATATGCCGCGCGCGCGCCAACTTGCTTTTAAATGTACCAATCAGATAGTTTTCCTCGCTTACCCACGCGCGCCAAATTATTATCAATCAGAACTGCCTACCTCAGTGTATATTCAAATACACCAATCAGCAACCAAAAAAAATACATATACTTAGGTAGATAAAAAGATATAAATGCATACATGTATGTATGCATTTATATCTTTTTATTATAATATCCATTTTAATTAATTGGGTCAAATGATTTACTGCTTCCTGTATCTTTTTATCATCTTGCTTAAAACAATTCTCTTCCTTGGTTATCTTCTTCTCTAATTCGAAACTTTACTTTTTTATAATTCTTGTCTCCTTCCATCTCAAATGAAGAATATAATTTTCTTATCTCTGATTCTTCCTTTATTCTCTAGTCTCTGTATCAAAAGTAAATGAGTTTAGAGTTACCACATTATTTCATTGGGTGTATGTATTCCTTCTGGTGACGTCCATAAAGAGATGCACTGCTAACCCCAAACCTCCTGCTCCCTGGAAGTTCAAATTCACCAGCAGTTTACTCAGGAGAAAGACTGACAACTTCCTCCTACACAGTTTAGAAGCTCACAAAACTCACTGGAAGATCAGCTGTGAGTCAGTTTCAATGCAACACAGGAGATTATTTTGGGTTTTTAAAGAGATGTGTTCTTTGTCTCTTACATATTTTACTTCAAAATCAGAATTAATCATCAATGCCTATGACACATGTTAGGTGCTTCTCAAAAGTGTTACACACTTAGTTAACTAGCTACAAATGCATCTTTTGTAGAACAGTGTTTAATCATAGGACATTAGCAATATTTTATCTGTTGTGCACACCTAGTCTTATTCCTAAACAGTTTACTATGGCCTCTTAAATGCAAAATAGAGGTCAAAGTGATAAATTATAAATTATAAAGGAAAGAGAACACAAGGCTAAAAGTGGGAAATTTAATACAGGAGCAATTATACCTGCATATGAACAACAAAGTTAACTCAAAACTTTTTGCATCTTATTAAATAAAACATGTTTACATAATTTGTTAGTCCATTATATCTGTAGGTTTCATAATATTAAGACTAGAAATTATTTGTTCCTAAGAATCTTCTACCTAGTTATTTAATTGAAGTCTTCAGAAATTCCCATACAGTAGACAGATGCATTTTATACATCATTTTCTCACATATGCATCTTACTGTAAGCATGTGTAATTTAAAAAAATACAGAAAAAAATGATATGAGGGAAGCATAGAGGAAACTCTGGTGATGTAGCCCATCGAGTGCTGTACCTCACCCACTAGCACCTCAGCTTGAGAAAGACTGACGGTCTCCTCCCATGTGATTTATGGTCTCTCAAAACTCACTAGCATGGAAGGAGGAATGGCATCCACTTCCGTAATAGCTTGCCTCCAGAAACCTTATGAACCTGGAGAGAGTACGAAAGGCACCCAAGCGGCGAGGACTCTCCTTCAGAGGGTTGCTATGAGTCGCCTGCGACTCAACGGCACTTGGCAACAATAATATCAACTTCGAGAGAGATCAGCTGGCCCAGTGGACAGAAAGCGATGCTACCAAGCCAAAGGTGGGTGACTTTTAATCCGCAGCCCTTGGGCCAGTCTTTCATTGTTTTTGTTCAGACATTCCTCTAGGTCGTATAGTCCTGGTATACAAGTTGCCATCCCGCGGTCACTTGTGGTTGCTGTGAGGCTGAACACTGTGACACGGATGTGTCAAATGCGTTAATGGTTGGCTCCCAATGCAGAAAGAGTGGGGTGGAGCTCCCTGATTAAACAAGCTTGGAAGGAAGAGTGGCATCCACTTCCATAATAGCTTGCCTCTGGAAACCCTATGAACCTGGAGAGAGGATGAAAGGCACCCAAGCGTCGAGGACTCACCTTCATAGGATCGCTATGAGTCACCTGTCGACGGTATTTAACAACAACAAAAACTCACTGGAGGGTCCAGCCATGAGTTGGTTCTAAATAGCTATGAGGAGGTGAGGGTTTGTGTTTGTTTATATTATTTGGTTGTGTGGCTTTTCTTTGTGGTGTTTTTTGGTTGTTTTGTTTGTTTGTTTTGTTTAGTTAAAGGAGCCATTACAATCCTGACCTGGTATACCACACTTCTTTCTTTCAACTGGCTTAATTAAAGATGGTAGGCAGAAAGTAAATTAACAATATTGCTTCTCCACTGATTATTGTACTCACTGAACTTCATTTGTTGAGTCCGTTTGAGGTGGATTTGTTGAGGCACTAGGAAGTGCTCAGTGGAATGATACTGAACCATGACTTCAAGTAGAATCACCTGACGAATTTAAGAGAAAATTAGCATTCTCTTCTGAGATTTTAATTCCATTGATTTTCCATAAAATAGAAGCATCTGCCATAGTTTTAAATTTCTCCAGGTGATTTTAACCATTGAAAATCACTGTTTTATAAATGGCTGTTCTCCCTTGCCGGTTGCTATGAGCAGGTAGCAATATTTTTGCATAGATAATAGTTCACAAATGAGTTATTTTGATGGGGCTCTTAGTTCCAGGATCATAATGTCTTAAGTTTTCAGTGTCACAAAGGGCATAATTTAATGTTGTTATCTACCATCGAGTCAGCTGCAACTCATGTACAACAACTCTGAACCCTGCTCTATCTGGAGCTAATTTCATTGTGTCTGAAACACCTATCCCCATTTCCCCAGTCACTGAGTCAATCCATCTCGTCCAGGATCTTCCTCTTTTGCACTGTCCCTCATCCCTTCCAAGCATGATGTCCGCCTCCAAGGACTGGTCCCTCCTGGCAACAGGCCCAAAATATGTAAGACAGAGCTTCAAAATCCTTGCCTTTAAGGAGCACCTTGGTTTCACCTTCTCCTGGGAAGAACTGTTTGTTCTCTTAGCAGTCCATAATATGTTCAAGACTCTTCTCCAGCACCACAACTCATGACATTCGTTTTTCTTCTATTATCCTTATTAATTGTCATAATTATGTGGTTTAAAAAAAAACAACCAAAAACTCAGAAAAGGGTAAGAACCCAGTGTACTTGATATATGAATAATAAAAATGAATATGTAATTTTAGGGAGTTAAAAGAATAGGTTTATTATTTGCTGAGTTTTCACTGAATTATACATAAAATATTTTGTTCTAAAATATTTTCTTTAGCTCATTGAGTCAACAGCCTTTTTTGAAAACACCCAAGCATCTTAAAACTTTTACCTATATGCAATATAAATTGAATATTTAAGAAGCCAACCAGCAAAGGAAGGGATAGGCATTGTACTGGGGTTTATTCCCTAGATTGTTGACTACCATATAGCTCAAAATTCATTAAGTCTGTATATCAGTATGTCTCAGATTTAAGTGTTGGTAATAATAAACTGAGATTTAGATTTACTGCATCTGGAACAAGGCCCACAGACAAGGTGATTTTGAAACAGTTGTGTTAAATATCTGCAGGGAATAATCCTATAGAGAGTAGTTGAAACTAAAAGATTTATTAGACACAAACTTATTTCCTTAGGTATCTGATCTCTACAAAATGATGGTTCCAGCCTCAAAGTTATCATCACAGTCCCACCACCAGTTCCTTGAAGCAAATAATGGAAGTCTTGGGGACAGATTATCTTCAGAGTGAGAATTTGCCACGAGCTTCTCCATGTAATCCTCTGTATACTGATTATTCTACCAGGGAGAAGAATTACATGTTTAGAAAGGCTTCCCTGGAACATCTATTAATAAATACAGTAAAAACAAAGTGTAAATTATTCTTTAAGCAGCTTACTATACAAATTTTTCAGTCACATGAAGGCAAAATTAACTGAACCAAACTGTGTTTTTCAGTGTCACAATGTAATAAAGGAGTGTATTCCTCCTAGAAAATATGCAGAAAGAAGGTAAAGGTTACTCCCCCTCAGTCTTAACAATTTTAAAGCAATAACTCACACAAATGCCAACCATATATTCCAAAATCAAATATGAAAGAAGATGTATTTTCTCTAAATTAAGTACATAAATTGCTGATGAATATGAAGAAAATTTGACAAAATCTAATGATACCAAAAATCTAAAATCTAATGTATGCCAAACTATAACAAAAATTTAGAAAAATTAAGTTTGACAAAAGAAGACATTATTCTTTTCATTCTTAAAATGTATTCAATAATCTCATAAAATGAGGATGTGCTATATATTTTCTCTATCACTAAACCTCCATTCGTTCTGTCAGATTACCTTCCTATGATAGTTTGCATGTTGCTGTGATGCTGGAATTTATGCCACTGGTATTTCAGATACCAGCAGGGTCACCCAGGCTGAATAGGTTTCCATAATGAGGCAGACCTTCCAGAATAAGAAGCAGAACTGACCATCAACTTCAGAAATAATTGTTGCTATTGTATACCCTCATGTCAGAACCAACTTATAACTGGCCATTACCAGTTTTTCAGAGGCAGTAAATCACACAGAAATTGATTGTCCTTCTTCCTCCTGCTAAGCAACTAGTGGATTTGAACCCTGTGCCTTTGGGTTAGCAGCACAGTTCTTTACCAGTAGGCCATCAGAACACCCTTCTGAAGTGATGTTGTTAGGTGCCATCAAGCTGATTAAACCCATAGCAACATTATGAACAATAGATCTGAACCATCTCCTGTGTAATCCTCATAATTTCTGAAACACTCGAGCCCATTGCAACAGTCACGGTGTGTCTGAAATTCTTGCTCTGTTGCTGACTCTCCACCTTTC